AAATGCAATGTATTCCTAACGTTGTGGAAGTAGGTCAACTGCGCTCTGTATGTGCGTAATGGAGGCTGAAGCATCAACCCAGCCAAAGTTTTGAAATCAGGGAACACTTTGCCAATTGAACTGATCAGAAGTCAGCACGACTTAAATGTTTTTTTTCTGATTCTGCATCAGCAGTTATGCTGCAGCTACCGATGTGTCACTGCCAGTCTGTCAAAAGCAGTCAGAGGCTTCAGTAACTCTTCAGCGCTCTATCGGTACATTCAGGTCTGAGATGATATTGGATCCCCTCATGGGATTGAAAAATATTGATTTTGTCACCTGTATTATGCGCATAAAGTTGAAAAGTTTTGCGCATCCGCACCAAGATTAGTATTAGTATTAGTATAAAGCCCAGATCCCACAACTCAGTGGTTTGCCTGGTGTGGTTCTTTCTTTTCTTTTTTTTTGCCATCACTCCCTCTTCCTTTGGTTTTCATTAAACTGCATCCAAACATTGCTGCTTTTCAATTCATTTAAGGATGCACCACACTTATTTTAGGCCATAATGACATTTTTAAAAAATGCCTTGTATTACAGCTCTGACCTAATTCTTGTTTCTTCATCAGGAGGTATTGAGTGACATCCGGAGTGTTTGGAATGCTCACCGTATAAGGCCCTCAAAGAATAACAACGTGCCCTGTGGGATACCTGATGTCATGGCCCCTCACCTTTGGGGTGCAGAAGACTGTCTCGCTCCACTGACAGAAGATTTGACCTTGTGTAAAAATAGCTGCACTTTTGTTAGTTCAGTCCCATGTGATGTGCAAGTGTTTGATTTGTGCACAATAATAATGGAGGAATCAAGCTTGGAATTCCCATCTACCATGTCCCAGGCCCTTGATTTATATTTTCATCTCAGGGATACAGTTCGTTCACAGTTATTTGAGGCTACTTAAATGGACACAAACATACAAATTTAGTACATTTTGTACTTTAGTATGTATTCCTACAGCTTAATGTACTTATTATTAAGTAATTATTTTTCTCCAGTGTGTAGTTATCTTGTCTTTGTATCAAAATTATCAGAAAAGACTGACTGTACATAATTTTCATTTTATCCATGTCAGTAAATTTACTCATCATGAAGTGTTGCTTGCTCTTGGTAGCTACAGAGCGTGGAGTATTAAACCAATACTTTTGGGATTGAGTTAAACTTATCACACTGTTAAAGCATCAAAAGTTGTTCATAATAGTATTTGGTAGCAAAAATGTGTTCATTTCTAACAAAAACAAGAGCACCTTGGATAACGACCACATAGACTGGCAATATATCTAATGTTGTGATCAATTTGACAAGACGACCAAGTAGGCTAAAGTGTAGAATCATAGTTGTGTCACCAATGCTCCAAATGTTTCTTGAGCCTATAAT